ATTCCTCACTCCTTCCCACCCTCCCCTATGCTCACTACCGTGTGACCTCATGCTTTGCCCAGAAGGCCCCGCTGCCCCTGCTTGCTCTGGCCTTCAGTTCCCACCAGGCTCTTTTGCCATCTGAGCCTTGTAAGCGCCCTTGTCCATTTCCTTGGCTGGATGTGTGTCCCCCACCGGGGCCGAGGGGCCCTGATGCTGTGTGTTCATGCACTTTCCCTTTCTCAGGCTCGGGGCCCCCGGTTCCTGCCCCTGACCTCTTAATGCAGATCAAGCAGGAGGGCGAGCTCCAGCTCCAGGAGCAGCAGGCTCTGGGGGTAGAGGCCTGGGCAGCTGGACAGCCGGATATCGGGGAGGAGCCGTGGGGCCTCAGCCAGCTGGACTCCGGAGCAGGAGACGTCTCTACAGATGCCGCCTCTGGTGAGTGGCCGCAGCTAAAGCAGACACAGGGACAAGTGTGGGGGCTGATGGCAGGGTGTGGGAAAGGACCTGGAAGCACCGTGGAGCTGTGGCCTCCCAGATCTTGAACATCCGGTCTGACCTACTGGGGAGTTTTCCCCCCTGAAGGGAGGGGGCTGTGCCTAATGATACCTTGTCCCGGGCGGGGAACACAAGGTATCATTAGGCACAGCCCCTCCCTTCTTCAGGGGAAAACTCCCAGTAGGTCAGACCGGATGTTCAAGATCTGGGAGGCTGCTCCACGGTGCTTCCAGGTCCTTTCCCACCCCCCTGCCATCAGCCCCCCACATCCCTGTGTCTGCTTTAGCTGCGGCCACTCACCAGGCGGCATCTGTAGAGACGCCTCCTGCTCGAGTCCAGCTGGCTGAGGCCCCACGGCTCCTCCCCGATATCCGGCTGTCCAGCTGCCCAGGCCTCTACCCCAGAGCCTGCTGCTCCTGGAGCTGGAGCTGCCCTCCTGCTTGATCTGCATTAAGAGGTCAGGGCAGGAACCAGGGCCCGAGCCTGAGAAAGGGAAAGTGCATGAACACAGCATCAGGGCCCCTGACCGGGTGGGGACACACATCCAGCCAAGGAAATGGACAAGGGCGCTTACAAGGCTCAGATGGCAAAGAGCCTGGTGGGAACTGAAGGCCAGAGCAAGCAGGGGCAGCGGGGCCTTCTGGGCAAAAGCATGAGGTCACACTGCAGTGAGCATAGGGGAGGGTGGGAAGGGAGTGAGGAATGACCGTGAGTTCTTAGGGCTGGATCTTTGTCCTGGGAAGGCCACGCTGCTCTGGGAGGTCCTGCCCTCACTCTTAACATAGAACGTTACATAAAATGTAGCCCAGTATCCCCAAACCTTACCCCACAACAAGACATGTATATGAATGAGCATAAAACAAAGATTCCAGAATAAGAATCAAAGAGCAAATGCAAAGTCAAATCAAGAGTTGGAACAGAGGCCAGGTGACCCAGGAGTTGCTGGAACAGGACACAGGCCTTGGAGGCTGGGCTTTGATGTCCAGGTGTGGTGAGACAGTGCTGAGCTGCCTGCGTGAAGCCAAGAGCCAGGAGGCTGTCCCCCCCCTCCCCGGTGAGCTGGGAGCTGGAAATAACTCCATCCACCTGAGGGCTACAAGGAAGCCGCCACCTGTCTAGAGCCACGGGTGGGACAGCCACCCTAAGAAACGGGAATTTCCATGTCCACACCGAATTCATACTACCTACGTGGTGCAGAGACCCTAAGCTGAGAAATTCACAGAAACGCTGGCTGACCACCACGGCTTCAGGCTTCCCCCCCCATACCAGCACAGGCAACAATGCAAACCTGCCCATGGGGGGGACACCCCCACAACTCAGGCCACAGGAGGTCTATGAAAATAAACTCAGGCCACAGGAGGTCCATATGAAATAAACTTACAAACCAGGGAGAGCCAAACAACACGAGAATCGTGGCCGAACTCACTCCCAAGAACTTCACGGAAAAAAGAAGCTGAAGGATATGGTGTCTTAAGTATCAGCGTGGGAGTTGACACAGCACAGCCTGTGCCCGAGGGTCACTGGTGCCAGGTCACACCACCGAGTCTCGAAACCCCAGGCCAGGTCTTGGTGGCACAGCAGGACCAGCAGAGGGACAGAGAGTCTCAGGATGACAGCATCTTAAACATCAAATCTTTCAGGGGATGCCTGGGTGGCTAGTCGGTTAAGCGCCTGACTCTTAGTTTCAGCTCAGGTCACATGATCTCACGCATTCCTGAGATCGAGCCCTGTCAGGCTCTGTGCTGACAGCCGAGGCTGCTTGGGATTCTCTCTCTCTCCCTCTCTGCTCCTCCTGGCTTGTGCCCACGCAGCGAAAGCTCACTCTCCGTCTCTCTCAAAATAAATAAATAAAATTAAACATGACAAAAAAATAAACACAGTTCTCAGACATTACTGAGCTCACAACTACAAATCGCCTCAACCAGAAAAGCAGCTGCCTCAGTGGGTCAGCAGACCACACACTGCAGGATCTGCCCTGCAGAGATGTTACATAGGATACTGTAATTACCATATACAGAATATGGACCTTATTATATCTGAAAAAATAAAAAGGGGAGCATCTGATGAGATTATCAAAACTGATTATAGGAGGCTGGGTGGCTCAGTGGCTCATAATACAGTTGGTGTCTGACTTCAGCTCAGGTCATGATCTCCGCGGTTTCTGGGTTCAAGCCCCGGCCAGGCTCTGTGCTGGTTTCAGGTGGTGTGGAGCCTGCCTGGGATTCTACTCTTTCCTCTGCGCTCTCCCAGTTCATGCTCTCTCTCTCTCAAAAAAATAAAATAAATATATGTTGAAAGAAAATAGTAAAATAAAAAAACAGGTGGAATTAATTTTAACAATATATTTTACTTAACCCAATATATCCAAAATGTTCAGCATTTATGTATCTCATCTTTATAGTACTTTTAAGTCACCAACAGCCACATGTGGCTAGTGCCACCATGCTGGACATTTAAAAGGTAAAGATGATCGGACTAAAAATGAACAAGAAACCTAACTATATGCGGTTTGCAAAAGACACGCCTACAACAGAAGAAGGGCAAAAGCAGTGTAAAAGAATCAAAGCCAGAATAAAGAAAATTTTTAAAAAGATGCAGTTATCCCATATTGATGAAATAAAATAAAAATTTTTTTTCAATGTTTATTTTAAGAGAGAGAGAGAGAGAGAGAGAGACAGACAGAACAAGAAGGGGAGGGCAGAGAGAAGGAGACACAGAATCCAAAGCAGGCTCAGGCTCTGAGCTGTCAGCACAGAGCCCAACGTGGGGCTTGAACTCACAAACCACAAGATCATGACCTGCACCAAAGTCAGAGGCTTAGCC